GTTCTTGCTGCTAAAGTTTTGCAATTTGGTTATTATTTCATCAAAGTTTACTATTCAGAGAATTGGATCCTTCTAGATTTAACTTTAAAATAGATAAGCAAACTAGGTGAATGAGAATGAAACAGGTCCTTCCTAAATCCACTTTCTTTGGTGATGCAGAACAGGCAGAGAAAGTACCGTACCAACAACAAGTAGAGTGCTGTAATGTAGTTAGAAACGATAAAACTAACCTGAGTCATAACCAATGCATAAAACATTACAACACATTCAGAGACTGGACATGACTGGACATGAAAAACCCCCACAAATGGACACAACACAGGCAAGAGAACAAGACAGGCAAGCCCAAGACAAACCAATCAATACAAATGGGTGAAAAAGAGAAGAATTAACAGGAGTGGGACAAATATTTGTCTCCTGTCTTTATTAAAATTTAGACAAGACTATGATTTGCGAGTCTTTGCGAGTCTTTACTATAACATCTACACTGCAAAAATAAACTTTACCTTCACCAAGGCTAGGCTACTCCCCAATTTTAATATAATACAACGAAGAGGCTTCATATTTGCTATTTTAATACTGAGTTATAAGAGCCAGAGCTGCATGAGCATGCAGGCGAAAGTAGAAGGTCCAAAATGTGGATGTGATGGTACTCACCATCACTGGGGGCTGAAGATGGACACTTTATGTAGGTCCCAAGATTACTCCTAAGTTTTAGTCACCCTGTGCCCATTATAGGTATAGGGTGTGTTGTGTATTTGTTTGTTAGTTTGTCTCCTTCACCCCTCCCCCCCTTTTTTTGTTGTTTTCCCATAAGGGTTTTCCCAGATTATTCCATAGACCCCTTTCCTCTGCTGTCCAGTACTATGTGTTTTAGGAGTTTTCTTGTACTATGGGAGATAATTATGTTAGCGTGTCTGTGTGTATAAAAGGTAAAACAGAAAAGGAGATAATTAGTTTATTAGATACATTAGCTATTATGCAATGGATCTTGGTATCAGGCAGGTAATTCAGTTATGGACTCTTGATCTAATTGTGGCCTAGACACCAAGGAGTGATTTGTATTGTGTTGTTTTTTATAGCCCCTTGTTGTGATTACTACTATATAAACCTGTGATTCACTCAATAATACCAGTTCTACTTCACCCTTTACTAAGTCTCGGCTAGTGTTTAGGTGAGACAGCTATACACTTTGCAGGAGAGAGTGATCACTTGGAACTGTAGTACAGAAACCTGTTCCAGGGTGGGAAATTCTGAATAGACCCCAGCTGCAGTGACTGGAGGCTGAAGCACTATGGGTGTCCTGTTCTAGCTAGGAAGAGTGCTTGGTGGAGGTACCCAGCCGATGTACCAGGAGGTTCACCACATTTGGCCGCAGTGGTGGGATGGCTTCCTAACTGTACGAGAAATCCACTGCATACCACAGGAACCCCTGTATACCTTTTGGAACTTGTGGCCATGGAGAGCGCTTGCACGCGTGCAGCGTCCTTATTGGATGTGAAACTTATTGGATGTCCCTATTCCTGCAGAGAAAGAACTGGAATTGAGGGTGGTGATCTAAACCAACCTATGGAAGCAGAGCTTTGAGGACATACAACCCTTACGGAGCAAGTCCCTCCCGACTACTGAACAGCACTGATGGGAACAACTCGAGTTGCAGATGCCATTCCTGGGAGAACAGCCCCTGGATGAATGGGTAACGGAACTAGAGATGCTTTTCATGACAGAAGTGTGGTTGGACGAGGTGTACCAGGCCCTGCAGTGGCATGCATTCTACCTGTTGCTGGTCGATAGCAAATGTATCGAGGGGGAGGACTATGATTGTCCTGGTCATTTGTGGGAGTTTTTTGAGGACAATGTGAAATTTGGGAACCCAGCAGGTTCGTGCTTCTGGAGCATATGTGATGAGCAGGAAGATCTATCAGAGATAACGGGGCTGAAGCCAGATCTGACTTTTCCAGCTATCCTGCAGAGGGAGCTTGAACAAGCTATGTATGCCTGTTCCACTGTATACCTCCACAGGCCTCAGAAATAGTGGTGCTTATGGACACTGTACCACCAGGAGAGGAGTGTGCTGAGGAGATGGTCAGTCTCTCTCTCCAGCGGCAGCTGGAGCAAATGGGAGTGGAGACAGCTGGTATCCCTCACTAGTGGCAGTATGTATGACCCGGAGAGGTGAGTTTCGACCTCCTTCCCCAGCGGCAGTGTGTGTTCCAGGGAGAGGAGATGGTTGGTCTCCATCCCAATGGCAGCTGGAACCAATGGGAGCGGAGACGGCTGGACCCCCTTCCCAAAGGCAACCGGAGAGTCAGTGTCCCTCCCCAGCGGCAGGGTATATTACTGGTAGTGTCATCTGGAGGTACTGGGAGTGGAGATGGTTGGTAAAAAGTAAAAAAGGTTTGTCATCTTTGTGAATTTTGTCGCTGAAAATGCCATAGTGTAGTGTTTAAGCATATAAACTTTAATTATGGTTATTTTCTACTTGCTTTAAAATATTTTGCCTCCAGGGAGCAGCAGTCTGACACACTGTTTGTAACCTATGGCAAGATGCCAGCGACTGTTAGTTTAAATATCTGCATTTAAGGATGCTTTAGG